CTGTGTGAGTTGATCACATACCTTTCGACCCCCTGCCCCACCTGACTTTTATAAATGCTTTGCAGAAACCCTTCAGAGAACTCGAGGCTTTTTAGGGCAGGAGCCACCTGCCTCCTGGCATGGCCCTGAGTAAACCCTTCCCTACTCCGAACTCCACCTTTTCAGTTTGTTTAACCTCACCGTCAGGTGCACGAACTTGCATTAACAGCAGGAGACACTGGGACCCAGGGAAGTGGGCTGAAAAGGGGTGGGGGGTATGTGTCAAATGAGGCAGTGGGACCTGTTAAGAACAAACATTGCCTGTGTCCTCAGTACAGCCGGGTCATGCCCTGGTGGCCCCACTCTGGAGTCAGATCGCTAGATGCTGTGTTTGCTTCTGTCTTATCTACCTACTAAGTCAACACGAAGTCAAAGCTCTGAAACCCAATTCAATAAGAGTGTTTATGAATCCAGTGTACTTAGCCAGCGCTAAGGAGGAAGCCACCTTCCGACTGCAGGAGGGCTTTCCTTTTTTATTCAGTTTCCCTTTCTTTTGTGTTTATAGTCTTTCCCCCTTCTCCCCAAAGGCACGTCACTCTGAAAGTCCTGCTTTAATAAAAGCAACTCAATGGCCAAATATCAGAGACTCTAGGTGGAGGGTAAACTGAGTCATTTCCTGTGAGGGAGGGGAGTCAGCCTCGAGTGGTCAGACTTACCCTGAACTGAGGGCAGTAGGACAACCCTTGCACACTCACTTAGGAAGCCAGGGCCGCCTTAGCCTGGGGTTAGCTGGGGCCTTGGTCTTCTTCACCAGTGTTATTTTACAACCTCTTGCTCCACGCAGACACGTACAACTAATGAAGTAACTGTTGGTGCATCTGCCAGTAACACAGCTCATTTCTGTTGATTAGTCATAGACCAACAATTAGTAATTTGGTAGATTGCACTTGAGCTGACACATTTTCAAACTAACGGTTCATAAAACAGAGGGCCGTTTATTTTATGTATATATAAGTGGCTCTTAGTGCATCAAAAAGATGTTTAAAATAACAAAGGAATACTCAAAAGCACAGTTTATCATCTTGGTTGGTAACATTCAATGGCAGCCCTTGGTTAAATAAGCAAAGCAGCACACAGAGGGTGGAAGTGCTGGGGCAAGCGCAGGCTCCTTCCTAAGGGCTTCTGGCCATGGCACCTGAGGCTCTAGGCAGGTGTGCTGAGGGGCTGCCCAGGGAGCAGGAGAACTGAGTTGCAAGATTGTTCAGACCTTTGCAAAGAAAGAATCACAGAGACAGTGCTTTCTGAGAAAGAGCAGAAATAAAGTAGACCTAGGAAGCTAGTTGGTCTTCCCTGCTGACTCAGTGGTAAAGAATCCGCCTGCCAATGCAGGAGGTGCGGGTTCGACTCCTGGGTTAGGAAGATCTCCTGGAGACTAGAGTCGTAACCCACTCTAGTATTCTTGCCTGGGAAATCCCATGGACAGAGGAGCTGGCGGGCTACAGTTCACGGGGTCTCAAAGAGTCAGACATGACTTAGTGGCTCAACAACAGGAAGCTAGTTAAGTGTTTGAGACCCAAATGCCAATGGAAAAAGCTCTGTGTCTTTAGAGATGATGCAATTGGAGCCTTTCATATTGAGGCATGAACATTTACAGCTGGGGCAGCAATCTCCCCTACATTTCTGTTCATCTGATTTTCAATTTCAGTTGTTCATTCTCTATACCCAGCCCCACTGTGGGACTGTGCACTAATTATCTCATGGTGGTGATACCATCTGCTGAAAAGGCTTGCAGCTGAGCCATTACCATCTTCCTACCTCTACCTGCCCTGGTACACGAAACAGAAGGCAGTGTACTGTCCCCTGTGCCCTACTCAGGGGACTGACTCAGCTTCACAGATTGAAGCAGAAACTGAGAACTTGACCCATTCTCCAGACTGGAGCCTTTGCCCATGATGTTTAGTACTGGAGCTGGGGGACTCAGCCTGTGTCTACATGTGGCCTGGGTGGTGGAGCAGGTGAGACGGGCCTTGCGGTGAAATATTTGGCTAAACTACCTTCCTATGTGGGTCCACGCACCTGTGATTGATTCATGGGCCTGGGTCTGATCTAAATGAACAAGTGAATTTCTTGACCACCACTTTTATCTCTCTCCCTGGCCACCTGGACACAATTAAAAGCCACTTAGTCACAAGAGGGTTGAGAGGGTGTAGACAAGACTGAATAATCCCATCCTTGACCCTGGGAAAAGAACTGAAAGGATCTGATGTACACATAAATCAGTTGTACCATCTTTTTGTAGAAATGGCAGCATGACCTTTCTTTGTAATCCCACTCAAAGTATTTTTAAACTTCAGAATAGGAGTGAGGAACCCAGGCATTGACACTGGTAAATTGTTGCAAGCAGGCAGTATGGGAGAAGGTGGACAAGGCATACGGTCCCTAGTCTGATCTCCCCCTGCCCATGAAGTTCTGAAAGTTTGGTGAGAATAGTTGGTGAGTTAGAATGATAGTTAAGCATCTATTCTTTTATATATGTTAAAATATTCTTAATGCTTATGACAACTGTGAGGGATGTTACAGAGAGAGGAACATATTCACTGTCTAAGTAGCAGGGATAGGGAATAAGTCTTGATTTTTTTTAGTTATTCTTTATTTTTACTTATTTTTAATTTTGTTTTATGTTGGAGTAGAAAATCTTGATTTGACCAGAGAAAAAAGGTGGTTTGTTTTCCACTTTTGAGCCATTGATTTGATCTCCAGGGAACACAGCCTAACTGTTGCACAGCTGGGCACTGACATTAATAGCAAGAAGCCAATCACATTTTTTTTTTCCTTTTGACTCTCCTTTTCTTTTACTGATCGTTATCTGTAACTGTTCAGGTTCCTTGGGTTTTTTTCCCTGTTATCATTAGCTTGTAAAAGAATGTGGTCAGCTTCCCCCATTTGAATGAATGTAGGAGAATATTAATACAACTACAAGAAAAGCAGAGATAAGCCAGAAGTCAAAGAATCAGAGTGTTCCAGCCAGAGGAGCCATAGAAAAAACTGGGACCAGCCCTTCACTTGTTTGTGTGTGTGTGTGTGTGTGTGTGTGTGTGTGTATGTGTTTTGCCACTCTTCCCTGGTAGCTCAGTTGGTAAAGACAGGAGACCCCAGTTCGATTCCTGAGTCGGGAAGATCCTCTGGAGAAGGGATAGGCTACCCACTCCAGTATTCTTGGGCTTCCCTTGTGGCTCAGCTGGTAAAGAATCCACCTGCAATGCGGGAGACCTGGAGAAGGGATAGGCTACCCACTCCAGTATTCTTGGGCTTCCCTTGTGGCTCAGCTGGTAAAGAATCCACCTGCAATGCAGGAGACCTGGGTTCAATCCCTGGGTTGGGAAGATCCCTTGGAGAAGTTGGGAAGATCCCTGTTCTACCTCAGCTACCTACTCCAGTATTCTGGCCTGGAGAATACCATGGACTGTATAGTCCACGGGGTCACAAATAATCGGACACGACTGAGTGAGTTGCTTTCACTTTCACTGTTCAGTATGTGGGATCTCAGTTCCCCTACCAGGGATTGACCCCCTGCAGTGGTAGCTCAGAGTCTTAACCACTGGACCACCAGGGAAGTCCCAGCCCTTCACTTTCACCATGGGGAAACAGAGACCCAAAAAGGGAAGGTGGGTCATGATTCCCATTTCTGTCCTCTTTCCAGAATGCGATATATGATTTTACTGCTCCATACTTTCCTTTCTAATGATAATTTGTAAAAGTTATTATTAGGCACTCCTGGGGCACAAAGCCAATTAGGTTAAGGAGTGGTACAGAGCCATATGATGGTAGGGAAACCTATACCCAAACTAAACATTCACCCTGGAGCATCAGATCTGGAGTTAACCCTCGTTTGTGTTGTGTTGGCATTCCCCTAGGTACTAGGTACTGTCCTTGGCCTGCTTGTCTTCTGTTGGGTTGACCAAAAGTTTCATTTGGGTTTTCTGTAAAATGTTACTGCAATTCTTAGGCTGTTCTACCTCAGCGGATAACTCATCCCTTCTCCAGTTCAACACCCAGCTTGTGACCTGTCCATCTCTTTACAAATCTCTGCTCTTCCCTTATACCCTGCTGTACTTGTAATCGCAACAAAACCTCTGTTTTGTTTGAATAAAGACAAGCAAAAATCTTTTCAACCTATGTCTCCCTGCCCTTAGCTATTCCCTTGTCAGCCAAGCCTCTTGAAAGAATGGTTTGTATTTGATGTTCTAAGTCCTTCCTTTTCATTCACCCCAGTGCCAAACTCAACGGGTACCTTTTAAGTCTTTATTTTACAGGATCTTGCTCCGTAGCATTTCACACTGTTTTTGTCTGCCTGAAACTCTTTTTCCTGACTTTTCTTCTCTGGATTCTTCTACTCCTCTGTCCCTCAAGGATCTTAATCGATAGTAGTTATATCTTGGGTTCACACCCAGCTTACATCTCCTTTACTGCTGTACTTCCCAACCCATCATCTCTCAGGAAAGGATGGTAAAGCCCGGGACACAGTCAGTAGGTCTAGTGATGGCTCTCTAATGGGAGGTGGATACCATACCTGTGGGATTCCGTTCTCTACCCGCCCCCGACAAGAATACAGTGAGATCGAGGAAGCAGATGGCAGGGAACTCAGCTGAGGGGTCACACTGACTCAGAGCCTGACCCTACGGTTGTGATTGTGTGAGTGGATGAGTGACTAGAAGACACTTCTGGGCAGAGGAGGCAGCATGAGAAATAAAGGCAACTCTGCCCGAGAAACAGGGAAGAGATCCTGAGACAGGGAGGGGTGCAGAGGAGCAGACAGAGGAGCGGAGAGGGGAATAGGAGGGAGACGGGAGTGAGGAGAGGAAGCGTGGGAGAGGGCACCCAGGGGAGTTCTGACTGCCCGTGAGGGGCTGTGGTGCTGGCTGCACTACATTTCCACGTGACTCCCTGGATCCTTGTAATGACTCTCTCTGTTCACTACCTTATTTTAGTGGGGTTTTGTCTCTTGCCACTTTTATCCTTAGGTACCTCTTCTTTTATGGTGCTGGAGAAGACTCTTGAGAGTCCCTTGGACTGCAAGGAGATCAAATCAGTCAATCCTAAAGGAAATCAACCCTGAATATACATTGGAAGGACTGATGCTGAAGCTGAAACTCCAATACTTTGGCTGCCTGATGTGAAGAGCCGACTCACTGGAAAAGACCCTGATGCTGGGAAAAATTGAAAGCAGGAGGATAAGGGGACGATAGAGGATGAGGTGGTTGGATGGCATCACCGACTCAATGGACATGAACTTGGACAAACTCCTGGAGACAGTGGAGGATAGAGGAGCCTGGCATGCTGGGATCCATGAGGTCTCAAAGAATCAGACATGACTTAGCGATTGAACAACAACAATCTCTTCTTCCTCCACTTCCTCAACCTCACCCTGAGTGATCTCATCCACTCTTTTTTCAGTTTAAGATGTTTTTATTCAATGCATATAGTTTTTTTTAAAAGCATACCAAAGGCTTATACAAAAGGATTATACACAGTGATAAGCGGAAGACCCTATGCCCACCCCTTTCATGCTTCCCAAAAGCAGTCTCTCCTTGAAGTATTCCTTATGGTGTTTACCTCAGTCATTGAAAAGAATATAATTGTCCCACTATTCCTTTATTTTTATTCCAGTAAAATATACATTGCACAGATTTACCATTTTGACTAATTTATGTGTACAGTGGCATTAAGTACAATTGTATTGTGGTACAGTCATCACCACGAACCATCTACAGAAGTTTTTCATTCTCTCAAACTGAAATTCTGTATCCAGTAAACAGTAACTTCTCATTCCCTTCCTGCCCAGCCCCTGGTAATGACTCTTCTAGGTCGTGTCACTATACATTTTATTCTAGGTACATCATATAAATGGAATCATACAATATTTGTCCTCTGTTGTCACACTTATTTCACTTAGCAAATGTCTTCCAGGGTTGTCTATGTTGTAATATATATCAGAATTTCATTCCTTTTTAAAGGTTGAAACATATTCTATTTTATACACATACAACATCATATTTTATTTATCTTTTCATTCATTGATGGACATTTGATCTATTTCCATCTTTGGCTATTATGAATGTGCTGCTGTGAACTCAAGTGTATAATATCTGTTTGAGCCTCTGCTGTCATTTCTTTGGGATATATATATCCAGAAATGGAATTATTGAATCGTATGGTAATTCAGTGTTTGCTTTTCTGAGGAGCACTGTGTTGTTTTCCACATTCTACTGTTTTATAAAACACTTTTTAAACATCATGTACTGATTTTGTGTTATGGTAGCTGAAGATCATCCACTCTTGAAGTATTCTCTAGGCCTTGTGTGCTAATGACTTCCCATCTATATTTCCAGCCCTCACTTTCTCTTGAGCTTCAGGCTTATATTATCCAAATGCTTGCTGGACATCTCCATGTGGATGTTAAGCTCAGCATATGCAAAGCATAATTAAAATGCTTGCCCCTGCCCCTACCCAGACTTTCTCTTCCTCTGGTTATTATACTGCCCCTTCATTGGTGAATGTTACTCATGTCTACCCAATAACTCAAACAAAAAACCTGTAGAGGGGTGGGAAGGGGTGGGTGGGAGGGAGACTCAAGAAGGAGGGGATATATGTATACTAATAGCTGATTTACTCTGTTGTAAGGCATAAACTAACACAACATTGTAAAGCAATTATCCTTCAATAATAATAATAACAAAGAAACTTGGAGGTTATCACAAATTGTTCCTGGACCTTACCATCCAATGGTTCACCAAGACTTCCAGATTTTACCTCTGAAATATTTCTAAGCTCCATTCCCTTTTCTTCTTACTCACTGTCACTGCCCTAGTTGAGATCTTCATCATCTATTGATTGAACCACTTGCAGCAGCCTCCTCCTAACTTGTCTCCCTGCCTCCATTCTTGCCCTCATTTAATTCTATTGCAAATTGATCTAGGCCAGTTTAGCCTCTGGCACCATCAGGTACTTTTCAGTGAACATCAGTAGTTTCCAATGTCTGGAATTATCTGTGGGTTGTAGTCTTCATCCCCCAGAGCCTCCATACCAGGTGATATGTTCCACTGAAAACAGGACTTCGACCCAATTCTGCCAAGCATACATTTATTAGCAGTTGGGCATAGTCTTGCAACCTGTCCTCCAGGAAGCCCCACGCAGGAAAGGTTCACTTGAAGCACATTTAGTGATTCTCCAGCAGTAGCATTTTAGCTAAACTTCTGGTAAAATCAGGCAGCAGACTCATCCATCAAGTGTCAGGAGCCAGGACCCAATGGATTTCTAGACCTAGAATGCCACTCTGGAAGTACCAGTGTTTTAGGCCCCTTTGATGCAAGGGCAGACAAAAGCAACAGTCCATAAATCTGGAACACTATTTATTTAACAAGTGAAAGTTTATTTCTACTATCCCGTATGTAATGAGCAAACCCTCTAGTGTAGATTTAGGTAGATTGGTTGAAGCTTTCCAGTAGCTGCTTCTGGAACATGAACTCATAATTAGAGTCCTTCAGATGCAAACTAAGCACTGCTAGAATGTGTTCCTCTTTGAGGTGCTTCAGACAGTAACTGTCCCTAGAGTTTATCTATATGTTCATGTATACATATAGGTGTGTATGTATCTTGCGTTGTCTGTGCTGAGGTTTTTGTTGTTGTTGTCTTGTTTGTTTTGTTTTTTGGCATGTGGGATCTTATTTCGCCAACCAGGGATCAAACCTACAGACCCTGCAGTAGAAGCGCAGTCTTAACCTCTGGATCACCAGGGAAGTCCCTGTGCTGAGTTTTTTCAAGGTAAATTTCAGGCTATATAACAAATCTATCCTCCCATGGACATCTGTCCATATTGTTCCCCTGCATAAAACCCTTCCCTTTCATGGTTCCCTGTTGCCTGTAAAATCAAGTCCAAACTCTTTCAAGTGACCTGCAAGGCCTTGCCAGACAACCCCCACCACTTTCTTTTCTGTACTTTACCCTCTAGTCTAGAATTACCAAGCCACTTGTAGTGAAGCCCCACCCATAATGCTCTCCCCACCTGCCTAACCCACCTTCGCACTTTCCTTCACCTGGCTAATTCTCACTCATCCTCTTTGACTCAATTCAGGCAATTAGCCCTTTCAAGAAGTCTTCCCTGGAACCTAATGGAGTTAAGCACAGAGTCGGACACAACTGAAGTGACTTAGCATGCACACATGCATTTAATATTTGAATAGCACTTATATATGCCAGGAACTATTCTAAGCACTTTTCAGCCTCAAAACAATTCTGTAAGTTAGGTTCTATTATTATCCCTCTTTTTAGATAAGGAAACTGAGGCAGATGAAGGTTTAACTTGTCCAAGTTCACATAATTGATGACTGGCAAGTCACACTTCAAACCCAGGTTGTCTGGCTCCAGAGTCTGTGTGTATAGAAATCCATAAGTGATGCTCTGTATTTTCATAGCACCATATGCATACCTCTATCTCAGCATTTAGCATAGTAGTTTGAAGTTTTTTCTTTGAGTATGTGCCTGCAGCTTTGCCATCAGGACCTTAAAGCTTAATAGCCTCTGAAGTATGGTGTAGGGTTAGATCATGGAGTTTGGAATTAGCCATACCTGGGGTTGAGTCCCACCTCTGCTCTGTACTAAGCTGTCTCAGTTCAGTTCAGTTCAGTTGCTAAGTCGTGTCCGACTCCTTGTGACCCCATGAACCCCACTCAGCACGCCAGGCCTCCCTGTCCATCACCAACTCCCAGAGTACACCCAAACCCAAGTCCATTGCGTCAGTGATGCCATCCAACCATCTCATCCTCTGTAGTCGCCTTCTCCCGCCCTCAATCTTTCCCAGCATCAGGGTCTTTTCAAATGAGTCAGCTCTCTGCATCAGGTGGCCAAAGTATTGGAGTTTCAGCTTCAACATCAGTTCCCTCCAACCTTAGGCAAATTACTCAACCTTTCTATGCTTCCTTTTCCTTATATGTAAATTGAGAATAAGAATACCTCACAGGGCAATGGAAAAATTGAAATGAGATGATATCTCTAAAGCACCTAGCACAGGGTCTGACATAGCTTAAAAAAAACTCTTGGTAATGCTTGACTATTACAAATAGTTATTATCTCTGCATCTCTAGCAACTGGCACAGTGCCTGAAAAATAAACATTTGAGAAATACTTGTTGAACTGAACTGTTATGGAAATCAGTAGACTGACATAGATATCTGAAGTATATCTTGTGTGTATGACTTCAGAATTGCTCCCCTGTACTTAAGCAGGATGTGCCATCTCACTTTGCTAGGGAACTTATGAGTTTTACCTCCAAAGGATAGATAGCCCTGGAACTCTCCAGTCATATAATGAACAAGCATATCATTCTGGTCCTTGCAACCATTAGTTTTATTGTAGCTGAAGCTCAGATAGGATAGCTCATCACCTTGAAGTGAATCTTGTTATCCTAAGTCATCTCATCATCTTTCAAACTGAAAAGAGAACTCCATTTCATTTCCTTTTCTTAGAACAAAGGCTTCAGGACTTCCCTGATGGTCCAGTAGATAAGAATCTGCCTGCCAATGCAGGGGACACGGGTTTGAGCTCTGGTCCTGGAAGATCCCACATGCTGCAGGGCAACTAAGCCCAAGTGCTACAACTAGTGAAGCCTGCATGCTCTAGAGCCCATGTTCTGTAACAAGAGAAGCCACCACAATGAGAAGCGTGCACACCACAACTAGAGAGTAGCCCTTACGGCAGCGAGAGAAAGCCTGCGTGCAGCAATGAAAACCCAGTACAGCTAAAAAATTAAAATGAAAAAGACCAAGAGATTCAGAACTCCCCAGAGCTATCCATTCTTATCAAATCTCTGACCTTTTTGGGTTCTGAAATTCCTATGTAAATTTCCTTCCCAGTATCCCAGAGATTTGAATTGCTGATGAAAAAATTCAATAGGCAATCTATAAACAGAATGGGAAATTTTAAGCCAATCTGAGGATTATAACTTGGGAGACAGTCTCTCGTAGAGAACTCTGAGAACTGTTCTGCCCATTAGAGGTCAAA